ATGATTATGCGAGACTTTTGTTATTATGGTAAAAAATGACTTTTTTTTTGGCAGCATGGTAGAATGTGAACATATGTTGGTATGTAATACTTATTTCTAGATTTTTGTTTGGTTCACATATAGAAAGGAATGCAAAACAGATTATTCAAACATGTCAGTCAAAGGGATTACGCTTAATTTAATCGGTCGTTCATGTCTAGAGTTTTTCGCCCACCCAAGATGTTGCCGGTTTATAAGATTATTAAAAGAAAAAGATCGAGTCACAAATTATCCAAATACACATCTGTTCTTCCATTTGCAGAGGAAAAAATAAACCAGTAACTGCAATTTCGATATGAAGAACTCGTATTTAAAAGATCAGTCCAAGTGCAGATATGAAAGATTGAATTATAATTTAAAGTATTTTAAATTTGGAAAGTTATCAATTCAAACAGAGAGAAACGGTGATAGATAGGTAAAATCAAGTATTTCATTGATTTATTGGTTTCTTTCGGTCTTTTTCTTGGCTGAGGTAGGTAACAAGAAAATTGTGTTATACATCAGTTTGCATCGACACACCAAAGGTTAGCAAGATTGTCTCACAAATTATTATTTCTAAGTAAGGACTACGATTTTTTATTGAAAGCGGTTGTTTTGGGTGCAAACTAAGTTAAACTTAATGGCGTCTATATATCACATAGATAATTGTCTATTCTGTGGCTTTCATGCCTCAGTAAATTAAAAAAAATATATATACTGCACATTTCCTTTGGTAGCTATAAATCCTGTTACAGGTTTTACAAAGACTGAAAAAAAAAAGTTAAGAAAAATAAAAAAAGAACAAAAACTAAAACGAATCCATTTTTAAAACATGGCTGTTTTTTCTAAATTTACTCGAGAAGAATTACTAGGTCTATTTCATTTTCATCATGAGAGAGGAAGATAAATGCTTCCAGTTAATGAAATCAACTTTGGCGTCTTCACATTATCATCTGCTTTATTCCCTAAACTGTTCTGCGCAGATAGTGTTGATGTTACAGAGGTCCAAGGCTGGCTTCAGTCACTTGACGCCATTTTCCCCAGGAGGATAATTATGCGTCTGTGCACATATATGACAAGGTGTTGTCTTAATGACGACTACATGGGAGTAAAATAGTCCAGTAGGACTGGTAATATTTGCACAATGTTTTATTTGCAGAGTAATAAGCATCTTGGATGGGTTAATGTTTGTATTCCAAAATATTCCAAAATTTTGCTGACACAAACTGCGTTTCTTATTCTGCTCAGACGTAAAAGAATTGATTTTGTTCAGAAATAATAGAATTAGGAAATTTCCTAATTCAAAAGAAATTCAGACTACATAGGAAAAACATGTAACCCTGTGGACAAATTACCTGATAAAAATGAGTTTATTAAAGTAAACATTTAATATTAATGCAATTGAAGTGTATGGATTAATAAATCAATATGTATAAGTTACGATAGTATGAGGGAGTGACCGAGTATGCGTGAGTATGTATGGGCGAGTGAGTATGAGAGTGTGAGTGAGCGAGAGTTCTGTAACCGACCTATTTTACAAAATATAACTAAACATTATTTTAGTTCGTCTTAGCTGAACCGAGAGCTTTTCAACACACACAAACTAATCAACTGATAGGGAAATGCTTCATTCTCAGAGGAGTTAAAATTGGAGAAAAAAATCTGAATCAAAGTCCTATTTATATTGTGGTTCAAATTAAAATACACACATTACATAAACCTGACTTTTTGTACTAAATAATATGAACAAAGATTAAATAGAAGCCCCAACCAATTTTCAATTAGACCATTCCCAAAATGGTGCAAATTCGCAGTCGAATATTACTTTTCTCATATTTTCCTTACAATAACCGAATATGATTAAAGTTTTCATAGAACTCTAAAAAAGCTATTCTAGACACAAGTTAGGGAAAAAGAGGAAAGTCTTTTTTTCGCTAAGATAGCAATATCGTGCTATAAAATTAAATTTATTAATTTGCAGAAAAACACTTAAAAGAGGCGGGGTAGGGGGTCAACCGGATGTTACATAAAACAGTTATTGTCTCTTAACAGTATACATAAATATAGCTAATCGTTTGATACATTTAGCATATTTACAATCGAAACCAAAAAGGTACGATTTCTATTCTGGCTTATCTTTGCTCATCACTTGCAGCCATGGTGATTTTGTCGATTTACTGCTATTGTGTGTAAGGATGTTTGCCAGTCATTAACTTTATTGATTTCAAACAATGGCCACCAATAATCAAGTAGTCTGAAAAAAGGTACAGTCGATATAAAACCATCATACCACTGTGTTAAAGCTTTTTTATATTATGAAACAAAGAGTCATTCATTTTCTTTTGCCATGTTCGTGTAATTATATTGAGTAGATGTTTAAGATCTTACAAAACTATATGTTTCTGGCTGAACAATTAAATGCTAACACTGTTCAGCCACTATTAGCGCATCCATCTTGGAAAAAAAACAATTAAATCTCTTAAGTGAACTTATAAATTTTACCAGTTTTATTGAGTTACCTAAATTCAATGTATGACCTCTTTATAATCTATAGCGCATTTATTCTGCTGGGATTATACTCAGGCCATATGGTGGAAGCATTTTACTCGTGATTATGTAGCTTTGATGGTTTCCATAGGAACTGGATGTAATATTTATTCATTTCGTATCAGCTTTCTGATATTTTCTTCCCTGTAACAATAAATCTAATTATATAGATAAAATCCTAGGTTACTTATATAGAAAATATAATCGTTACAATAACAGAATTAGTTACATATAGCCACCATTTTTTTTCTTTTTACGTTACGAGCAATGTATTTTCTAGATAATATCCCGATCATCTCTTGAAGTACAAAGACGCTTCTGCTACATTAAAGTCACCATGCTTGCTAAGGTTGATTCAGTAGCGTATACCTATTTAGAGCCAAATGATATTAGACAGAGCTTAAAAAAATCACTTGTTGGTCCAGTTTGTCGGGAAAGAGTTAATAGAACGCATTGTAAAGAAAAAAAATATTTCAGTTTTAGAGTGTGTCGGGGCGGGGGCATAATAGTCGATAAATTTGGCACACATTTGCCACTGGGATGATTTTCCTGTAACTATTACAAAAGTAAATTAATAAAATGGATTACTTCCGAGGCAGCGGTACAAGATAATGGGTGTGATAGTAAGTGTACGCAGCGAATCTGGGTAGCTGAGACTGCCTTTCAAAATAAACCCACAAAGAAAATTCAGTTCATTGCAAAACGAGAAAGGAAGTTGTAACAAGAAAATCCGTAAGCGGGTAGCAAATTGTAAATATCTCCATTTCAATCAGCTTTATAAATATAACGATGAGACTTATTTCTTTTCGATTAATGTGTATATTCTTATGCCAATCTGACAAAGTTAGAAATTACAACGGCAAACTTGACAACTGACCTGACACGAATCGTCGTATACAGAATACCAATGATGCTGGCCTTTCACACGACCAGTTCCTTTTCGTTTTTCTCTCTGCAAAACAAATTAGTGAGAGAGAAGCCCACATGGAATGTATTTTGTAGACTGGCCAATTATTCCAAAAGCCGACATGTTAACTTTACACTAAAACGAGGCTGATAGGATTAGGGGTGGGGTCAGACAGCCATTGTTTAGAAGTTATAGTTGGTAAGACGTTAAAACAATGTTTTACCAAGTTTACTTTGATACGAAAGAAATGCAAATGTCAATAGGAAGCTTGTATTCTGCTATTTTTCAAGTAGGGAAAGCATGTTAGCCTTAAAAAAAAAAAAAAAAAAACACTATACAAAAACCCTGCCTTTTAATGGGGCTCGAACACCAACTTTAAGACATAGATAAGCTACTCACCCAGGCAAGCCCCAAAGTATTTAGATTAGTCTGACACAAGGACAATTTCCATCTATGTGTGGACGGCTCAATTTCAAGCAAAAAGTGATAAGTTCTTATTACGCATTATAAGTTATGGAAAGTTGGTTTCTGTAAAATTAGTGCAATATAAATTGCATGAAAATTTTTGTCTTTACAGAATTTACCTGCCTCTCCACTCCGGCAGGATGTGACACAAGGTCTTCCTTTTACATGAGGTAACCATAAGGAAATAGTAGGGTAGACCAAGTTTTGTAGCATTGGGTAGCATCCAGTTTAGAATAACTAGTCTGAATTCAAAACTATGATGAAGGCAACTTGAAACCGACCAGGAAATTTTCCTAAGGTGTCATTGCAATTCGCAGATAAAAGAAAAATAAACTGATAAGAGACATAATTGCTTACGTCCTGAAAGAACTTTTTAAAAATATGTATTGAATAATAGAATTTGATTTATTTAAGGCTGGCATACAGATTCAGCACAAATTTTCATCATATATATTAGTAAGTTCAATAGTAGCCAGTCATGCGTATTCAAAATCAGATCAGGTTTTTGAAGAGGTCTTCACTTTGTTCAAGTGCCATTTTAAGAGGAAATAAAATATTAAGCCCATGTAAAAAGTTCCCTTTAAAAAAAAAAAAAAAATTCTATACAACTGCTGCTGCTCCAAAAATATCCTGAGGGAGACTTACATACATCTAAAATTTTACATGCTTACCTTAAATCACCTCCAAAACGTTAAACACGTTTGATAAAATTATAAGTAATTCAGATTTATTCGTTCTCCCATTGGAATAGGAGACTTATTCAACTGAGAGGCTACTCTAATCACATTTGTTCGTTAATGAGCACAAAATACCCAGCCGCATATTTCTATCCCTTTTAGTTCAATGAGAATATATTATTTAAAAGATGACTCTCAACCAACTGCACTCGTACTATCACGAATAACCACAGATTTGACATGAATACCAAACAAACAAGTATTGTCAGTATTTTAAAGCCATACACTGAAAACGGATATTAACTACTCAAAGATATAAGAGACTTGCGTTAAGGAACCACCCAAAAGATCACTGCAAAGTTGACAGTTCAACATTTAACTATGACTTACGGCCATATCGTGTTGAAACACCGGTTCTCGTATGATCACCGAAATTAAGCAACGTCAATTCTGGTCAGTACCTAAATGGGTGACCGTTTGGGAATACCAGGTGCTGTCAGCTTGAATGTGCGTGTGGTGAGATGGATAATGGCTTGGAGTTGGAAATCTGAGAGCCGGATTTCAATTCCATTCTGGTTTGTTATATTCACTTACGCACAACTAACCTTGGAAAATGTATGAACCCACCTAATATCCTCCAGCTAGGAGTTAAATAGGACATATAAAAAAAAATTCTTACAAACTAAAAAACATTTTTTGGCTTTAAATAGTCTGCAAAGAGTTGATAAACAATAAAAAATATCGACATTTACCTAAAATCTATTTTACGAGTATCGTCACAATAAATAAATAACAACAGCGATATTTAAATGATTTTGCAATTGCATTGGCTACATGTTCCGCATGATTAATCTAGGGCTTTTATCGAGGCAAGAACTTCTGTCTTGTAAATACTTACAAACAGAAAGCTGAATTTTCTGAAATATATAATGAGGGCGACTCAGACACTCACAAAGATACACTGAAAGAATGTGAAGCAAGAAAACAAGTAATCTAGTTGACGGGTCTGTGGGAGTGGTTGGTAGAACAAAGACAAATAAATGCGGTAAAGAGCAAATTACTTCGAGCCACAAAAGAGAAATATGCGGAGAACCATGATCGCACACGTCCTAAAGAGTCACGACACAAAACGATAAAAAAGTTAATACAATTGATGTATTACCAACCATTTCTCACTACTTAACAAGATATTGCCATGGTATCATTAGATATTTTCGTTTATTAGCTTCGAGTAACCTATTACTATATCAAGAGAATATCTCTAAGAAGGGAGAGATAAAACCACGTGACCCATAAATATACAACGTCACATTGTTTTTGATTATAGAATATAGGATCACTCTTGTGATGTTTGTATCAAAAGTTCAGAAATGTATGATTAACAATACAGACATTATTTGAAATAGATCTTATTTTTATCAATTTCTTTCTTGCTTCTTTAACGTATCGAAACTGTTCCCAACATAGAACAAAATAATCATCTTTTCTTGGTCGATCAGTAACTTAGCACACCTTCGAACAAGCACATTTCAAAATTTTTTTCGATTCATCACACTAGGTTATAGGATTCGATCGATCCGCTGTTTACTGGTTATCAACTCTTTCTAGCTTATTTAAAGCCAGAAAATATTTTTAGATTGTAAGAATTGGGGCGGAGAGAGATAATGGTTTAGTGAGACAAGTCTTATTAATTAACCCATAGCTGGGGAGGAAAAGAGGTGGATCCATACCTTTCCCAGGGTTATTTGTGCGTAAATGAATATAACGAACCCAACGGTAATTAGAATACGGCTCTTCGATTAACAATTCCGAGATATTACCAATTACAACATCCGGGCAGTAAAATGGTCAACCATCTAGGTACTGATCAGACTAGACATTTTTTAAAATCATTTCACTCCAAGCACAACAGGAATGCCACTAGTACGCAAGGTGTTGCAGAGAGCGGAAGTGAAAGAAAGAAAAAACTCAGAATAGGGAGGATTGAGGAAAGAACAAAAGTTGAAGGGGATTCAAGAAGACACGAGATGGCGATTGACTTTGCATTTAAATTTTTGAAGATTGTAGTTATCAGGCAAGCATGTAAACGGAAGGGAGTTCCACAGGTGGGAAGTGCAGGAAAAGAAACTGTAAGAGTAGAAATGACGCTTGCATTTAGCTATTTCAGTAAAAAAAAGGGTGGGACCTAGATGCTAATCCAGTAGCACCCTTAAATTCATGTAGTTCAGGCACCAAGGAGGGAAAAAGCTAGTCAGAGCAGTTGCCATGAAAACATTTATAGAAAAGACAGAGGGAAGCCACGTCACGTAAGTGAGAAAGTGACTGAAGTCTGAAGTTCGGCGAGATTACAGAAACCGGAGTTTCACCGTGATAGGGCCATAAAGCTTAGCTTATATGATCTAACCTATTAAAAATGGCTTGGAATAACAAAATTGAGTTGAAAATCTTACTTTTTTTTTTTTAATATTATAATACATTTTACAGTAATTAGCAATTTGTCGCAAAAAGAGTATCTCCTGCATTTTCTTTTTTGAGCGTCGTGAAATAATTCTTCGAAATAATTTGAATTGATCTCTTCAAAAGTAAACGCGTAATTGAGAACTTAATCGCCGGCTTTCAAAGTTTTGCATGACTTGAGTTAAACAATATTTGTACCGCATAATGATTTATCCCTTTATAAATCGAAATAGCATTAACGGTTTTAAATTAATTAGGTTCATAATTAAAGTTTTCTCTTATCTTGTCACGCCTGTTGACACCCAATTACAAAATTCAGTTATATATATATATATATATATATATTAGCTATCGAGAAGTTATTGTCAAAACGGCAACTTCATGGAATTTATTGACCAAAAAATAAAAGGCTGGTGAAGAAAGAGAACATTGCTGATAACATTTGAGCAAATTTCAGTTTTTCTCGAAAATGGTCTAGTTTCCCGTTTTGCAATCGACTATAATTGATATAAAAGATGGATCCTGACTTTCAATAAATGTGTCATTTATTGATTTACTTATGCAATAAATATTTCCGTACAGTTTTCTAAAAAGCATAAAACTTATAACAAAGGCAAATCGCAGATTCTCCATATATGCTGCTTCTTTCAATAGTAGAGGCTATAATTACTTACTAACAAAAGTATGGCACCAGAAAACTAGAATCATAACTTCTTGAAATGAATCTGTTATGCATTAACCTTTCTATGTATGGTTTCATAAAGGAAAAAAAGCGTTACATTGAAGCTAAATCTGTTCTCGCAATACCATTAAACTTTTCTAATTTGGAGAGTAAAACTATTTCTATTCTAATCAAGCGACTAATTTGTAATTACAAATTGACAAAAAGTCCTTAAAAGAGTGACTTCAAGTATATTAGCATATCAAATGCAAACTACAGGGGCGTTTTTCTTTTTTTGAAAATTAAAAAAAGAAACAAAGAATTCTTGGCCTGCCTGCAAACTCCTCCGTCAGCCATAGTGACATGACTGACGATATTTCAATAAGCTTAATGACAACATTTTCAAATAGTTATATCAATTATGCAAGTAGGAAGCAACCTGGTCTCGAGTGAAACCCACCAGCAACAATACTTGAACGAACAATATCGTTCTATATTTTATTTATACATTATTTATAAATTCTACTGGATTGAAATAAAATTTCAATTTCCTATTTGTTTTAGTCATAAATTCTATCTTACCTTTTAAGTATTATACACGTGATGTATGAAGTGCAAGTAAAAAGTTAATGAAATTCGAACATTCGTTAGATTTTCTGAACTGTCGAGCTTTACCTATATTATAATGATATAACAAATCCAAGTAACAACATATATGCTTATAATATTTCCCCACATAATATATGTGGAAGAAAGTGTTCCAAATAAGATTTTAAATGATCGTTATGTCAATTAACTCATTCCTTTTATCGATTGGTATGTATCGGATATGATCGTTTGAGATCAGATAGAGCGCTTACATTCTTCAAAATGTCTTGCTTCGGATGACCGATGCCATTATTCGAAAAGAAACTTAATTGGACTTCTACATTAAATAAAAACACTCATTTCATATTTTTTATATTTTGTTGAGTCCGTGGTTAACGATCGAATACAGTATCGTTAAATCTATCTAGAGACTAAGAAACCTAGCTAAATACACATCTTAGACTCAATGTGCAATCCAAAATTCAAGACGGTTTTAGGTGCCAAATGATTTTCTCAAGGAAAAAAAAAGAATAATTTAAGAAAAATGGTTCTTAATTTCCTGATGAAGTGATTTAAAGAAATGTGGTGTCCAGTGAGGGACACTGGAGACCGGTAGCAGTTTAATTTGAAGCTATTTAAAGTTAAATATCTAATCAGAGGACAGTTGTTGTCCGTTTATTTACTTTTAGTTTAGTTGTCCGGGAACCGTCAAGAAAACACCATTGATCGAAATGGCTCTACCACAACTCCATCATGGAAGTCATTAAGTAATAAAGGAAGAGGTTTGCTTCCAAGGATACGTGTATACAAAACAGATAAACTATTATCAGATGGAGATTTTCCTATTCCCCCCCCACCTTGTACCATTATTACCTAAATTCGTTCAAATTATACCAACATGTGCGTAATACCTATTTCATATATAACACATACACGAGAAATTTTATGCACCATGGAGATTTAAAAAAAAAAAAAAAAGAACAGGGCATTCCAGAATGGGGATACATTGCAAATGAAAGAAAAACTATCAAGAAATATTAATCCCGGAATTAGCGACAAGTTTTTATTTTCACTTGGCTCAATGTGGACATTGCTCCGATTCTAGCTTCATACGAAACAAATATCCTGCTATAGAGGATACATTTCCATTTATCATGTAATAGAACTACAAATTTAATCAATTTAATTTCTTTCAGCGGTGTCCATTATAATTTTAATGAATATTGTCGTAATCTACCCACTGCCTGCCATTACATATAAGCGTTTCAACTCTTCCCACCCAAAGTGATATATTTATTTTGCTGTGTCAGTAATGGTGAGGAATGTCGAAGCTTTCCTGCTAATTCCAATCTATTTGGTACAATATGGTCACATTAAACAAAAACTAAACTTTATTTAATTTTTTTTTAAATTGTGTCCGAAATTCATAGAGAAATCATTATTCAACGAGTTGTTCAAACTGGTATTTTTACCGTATGTTCATACGAAAGCAACGCGTGGAATAATGCTATTTCCCTTTTAGTCTGTTGAGCTCTAGTTTATTTTATCGTTAACCTCTTTAAAATTTCTATTTATCATTTCTTTTCCAGTCTATATTTACTTGGACTAAGACTTTATCAAATCAAATGCGACAAGATAAGACTTTTTGTATAAACGCGTTCTGAAAAACTGATTAAGAAAGACAAAAAAAGTCGGAGATTATGGGGTATGTCCGGAAGGTATCCAGTCTTTTTGAATAGCTCAGAAACAATTACACGGTCTTTATATAATTTTGCATCCAACGAGCGCATGCGT